TTAGAATGTCTCACACTACTAAAACATTATTAACCCCTTAACTGTCCAAACGTAGATCTATGCTATGTTCTCTCACCCAACACCCTGAATATTAAAAAAAAAAAAAAAAAAAAAAAAAAAAAAAAAAAAAAAAAAAAAAAAAAAAAAAAAGACTTACATAATGTAAAAAAAAAAAAAAATTAGAATCAGTGCTTACAGAGATATAAGGCCACAAAGTCGGCGCTTGCTGCTCGCCTGACAGCAACATGAAGCGCTGCCGCTTGCAGAAGTGTTGCCGATATACCGTTTTTCCTCATTTTTTAATTTGTATAATTTTTATGTTCTGATGATGAAAGATTGGATATCAAATTGGAGGGAGAGAGTATGGAGGAAGTGAATGTATTCAGATATTTGGGAGTGGACGTGTCAGCGGATGGGTCTATGAAGGATGAGGTGAATCATAGAATTGATGAGGGGAAAAGGGTGAGTGGTGCACTTAGGAGTCTGTGGAGACAAGGAACTTTGTCCTTGGAGGCAAAGAGGGGAATGTATGAGAGTATAGTTTTACCAACGCTCTTATATGGGTGTGAAGCATGGGTGATGAATGTTGCAGCAAGGAGAACGCTGGAGGCAGTGGAGATGTCATGTCTGAGGGCAATGTGTGGTGTGAATATAATGCAGAGAATTCGTAGTTTGGAAGTTAGGAGGAGGTGCGGGATTACCAAAACTGTTGTCCAGAGGGCTGAGGAAGGGTTGTTGAGGTGGTTCGGACATGTAGAGAGAATGGAGCGAAACAGAATGACTTCAAGAGTGTATCAGTCTGTAGTGGAAGGAAGGCGGGGTAAGGGTCGGCCTAGGAAAGGTTGGAGGGAGGGGGTAAAGGAGGTTTTGTGTGCAAGGGGCTTGGACTTCCAGCAGGCATGCGTGAGCGTGTTTGATAGGAGTGAATGGAGACGAATGGTTTTTAATACTTGACGTGCTGTTGGAGTGTGAGCAAAGTAACATTTATGAAGGGGTTCAGGGAAACCGGCAGGCCGGACTTGAGTCCTGGAGATGGGAAGTACAGTGCCTGCACTCTGAAGGAGGGGTGTTAATGTTGCAGTTTAAAAACTGTAGTGTAAAGCACCCTTCTGGCAAGACAGTGATGGAGTGAATGATGGTGAAAGTTTTTCTTTTTCGGGCCACCCTGCCTTGGTGGGAATCGGCCAGTGTGATAATAAAATAAAATAAAAATTACAATATGTAGTAGTTCTTGTGATTTCATAGCTAATCTTTGTTCTGACACTAATATTAGGTACTGAAATAGTACTCAAATAGTCACACACAAAGTGACAGTGACAAGTGAACATTTTCACCTACCTTAGTCACATACTGTTGTCTACAAATATATACACAGTATTTATAGGTCCCAGCAATGTTTTGGATATGCAGGGAGACGGCCGAATTGTTAAAAAAATTATTATTATTATTAATCTTCCTTGAAGCGTCGTGTAAGACGAGTGTCACTCCACTGCTGACAGTGCAGCAGTGGTGACATTTGATGAGCGTTCACATCCTTGCCTTTATGTATTTGTTTTTACCATTACACAAACATGTCTGTATCTGTCTGTCTGTGTCTAGCTCTGTTTATCTGTCTCTGCTTATCTGTCTTTCTGTCTCTGTTTGTCTCGCTCTGTCTCAGAGAGAGCCACTCGTAAACCAACAGGTATTACACATGATGCAGTCGTCACGTATGATTCCTGAGCAAGTGTAAATACATATTACTTGCCAGTCATGCTTACTATGCATTTTATCTACAAGCACAGTATAGGACTGTCTGGATTTTTTGGGTTATCCTAGGTAATCTACACTATGTATGTGTGTGCTCCTGTGAGACAGAGATAAAGTGGAACCTCAAAAATCGAACTTAATCTGTTCCAGGAGCTAGTTCTGAAATTCGAAGCAATATTTCCCATAAGAAATAATGGAAATACAATTAATCTGTTCCAGAAGCCCAAAAATATTCACACAAAAAATACATTTTATAGAGATTAATTACAGTTTTACATACAACAAATACTATAGTTTTAATTATGTATAGTAATACATATAAAATAACATTTTTACTTACCTTTATTGAAGATTGTTGATGGCATCTGGAAGATAGGGAGGAGGAGAGAGGGAGTTGGGGTTAGTGTTTGGAAGGAGAATCCCCCTCCATGAAGACTTCAGGTAAAGCCCTCTCTGGGGTTACTTCCCTTCTCCGTTTTTTAATGCCGCTAGGACCAGCTTGAGAGTCACTGGACCCCTGTCTCACAAAATAACTGTCCACAGTCCTCTGTTTCTGGTACCTCTAACATTTCCCTAAAATGGGACATGGTTCTGTCACTGAAATTGTTGCAAAGATGGCTTGTTTCAGTTTGCTCAGGGTGGAACTTCTGCACAAACATTTGGACATCATTCCACTTGGCACAAATCTCCTTAATCTTTGAAGAAGGCACTTCATCCACTCCCTCTTCCTCCTCCTCTGAAGCAAGTTCCTCAGCTGTGGTCTGATACTGCTCCAGATGAAGCTCTTGCAGCTCTTCAGTGGTTAGCTCTTCCCTGTGGTCCTCCACCAACTCTTCCACATCCTCACCACTCACCTCCAACCCCTGGGTGTTCCCCAATGCCACAATAGAGTCCACAACAGGCAGAGGGTGAGCTGGGTCAGGGTCAGGGTCAGCCTCAAACCCTTCAAAATCCCTCTTTTAGACACAATCTGGCCACAATTGTCTCCAAGCAGAGTTCAAAGTCCTGGAAGTCACTTCCTCCCAAGCCTTACCTATAAGGCTTATGGAGTTGTAGATGTTGAAGTGATTCCTCCAGAACTCTCTTAGGGTCAACTTAGTGTCTGTGGTCACTTCAAAGCACTTTTCAAACACTGCTTTTGTGTAGAATTTTTTGAAGTTAGAAATGACCTGCTGGTCCATGGGCTGGAGGAGAGGAGTGGTGTTAGGAGGCAAGAACTTCACTTTTATAAAACTGAAGTCCTTAGACAAGAGGTCTAATAAGTTTGGAGGATAAGCAGGAGCATTATCCATTAACAGGAGGCACTTGAGTGGCAATTTCTTTTCCTGGAGGTATTTTTTCACACTGGGGCCAAACGCTTCATAGACCCACTCTTTGAAAATTTGTCTTGTGACCCATGCCTTATGATTAGCTTTCCACAAGACACATAACTTGTTCTTAAAGACATTGTTTTTCTTAAACACACTGGGATTTTCTGAATGATACACAAGTAAAGGCTTCACTTTAAAATCACCACTAGCATTAGCACAGAATAAAAGAGTAAGCCTGTCTTTCATAGGCTTGTGTCCTGGCAGTGCCTTTTCCTCCTGTGATGAAGGTCCTTTTTGGCATTGTCTTCCAAAACAAGCCTGTTTCGTCACAATTAAACACTTGTTCAGGTTTGAATTCTTCACTGTCTATGTACCCCTTAAACTCCTGTACAAACTTCTCAGCCACCCATTTGACTGAACTAGCTGCCTCACCATGTCTTACAACATTGTGTATGCCACTACGCTTCTTAAATCTGTCAAACCAGCCTCTGCTGGCCTTAAATTCACTATCAGCACTGGTTCCAGGAGTTTTCTGTACCAGATCGGCATGCAACTTCCTTGCCTTTTCGCAAATAATCATCTCTGAAACACGATCACCTGCAATCTCTTTATCCTTGATCCACACCAGCAACAACTTCTCAACCTCTTCAACTATTTGTGATCTTTTTTTTGGTTAGCATATTAACATCTTTCGCAACATCAGCTTCCTTGATTTGTTCTTTCTTTGCCAGGATAGAACCGATGGTCGACTTGTTTTTCCCATACATCCTGGCAAGCTCAACAAGTCTCACACCACTCTCATACTTCTGTATTATTTCCTTCTTCACATCTATGGTGTTTCTCACTTTCTTTACCACAGGGGTACCACTAGCAAGTTTCTTTGGGCCCATGGTAGCTTATTTCACAGTCCCACAAGCACTAAACACAACGAAATACGTGTAATTGTAAAATGCGTGAATGAGAGCGCAGGTTAGTGTTCACTCAAGCATAAACAAAGCTAGACTGCTCACGGCGCCTGCGCGGGGACGCGGACAGAGCGGGCCAGCAGACAGGTCCCGTACCCGGCGGTCCGAAAATAGGGGCGCGTTCGATAATAGGGACACAGTTTGTCCGAAAAAATGGTCCTATTTTCGAAACGTTTGATATGTGATACGTTCGATTTTTGAGGTTCCACTGTAGATAGAAACAGATATAGATACAGACAGACAGACAGACAGAGACAGCCACAGTCAATCAGTCAGTCGCCGGCCAGCCAGCCAGCCTGCCGAACATGTACTGCACATTCCACAATTGTTTCTCTTTACTTAGGGCATAGGTTATAAGACATTCTGGCAGGATGACACTACCAGTGGTACCAAAATTGAAAGGGTATTGCACAAATGTTGCACATGGGTTATTATTGAGACTTTTTGTATTTCCTTGAACATTTGTGGCCACATCCACCTCAAAGTCAACATCACTTTTCTCTTAAAATGGAAGTGTTAATACTACATGACATCAGTGAATTCCAGGTGTTTGCCGCACTGTTTGCTCTAGCTGGCGCTCAATTAAACTGGTGCTCCTACAAGATACTAACTGGTCCCAGACTTTCTAATACTGCACACACCAAGTGTTAAGACCCATTCTGTGCTGACCAGGATCTCAGGTCAATCGTGCCAAGTTTAGAGGCAGGAAAAATAAAACGTAGATCTATGTTTGGACAGTTAAGGGGTTAAAGAATATCTGTACTAAATTGTAATTTTGCTTGCAACTATTACACATGCAATCACTACTATTACTCACTTTTGTAACAGATTCCAACATAATTATTGGGTCCTACTTACAAACTATTTACTACAATTTTTGTATAACTTTTAACTTCCTAACAAGGTTACTCATGATTAATACTAGTATTCAGATGTATAGTAAAGATTTCAATAATCATACAAAAATAAATTGTACCTCAGCTACAGTGGACACTTTAAGGCTCAGACGTATACTTCCTCTCTTCTTGCTTTGCTTACAGTTTTCTCCAAGAGATGCTTGACTCGTGTCTTCTTCCTTGCTCTTGGTCAAGTTATACCAGCCTTCTATACTTTGCTCTTTTAATTCCTGAAATACCAACAAACATAGTAACAAATATGATTGTGTATGAACTTGTCATTTATTTACATACTATAGTATTTTTTTTTAGTCCAGTATACCAGTGATGGTCTTATTTGGAATACTGTAAATATAATGTGCAGAGGTGGATGAATCAACCTTTCAACATGTCATACATCATTTAAGTTGGTTCCCAAGAAGCATCATTATTACTGAAAGTTAACTCTTCCTAAGACCATTATCATCAAAAATTGTCTAAAAACAAAAAAGTAGTGGACGAAAGCATTCTGACAAGAGGTGTGTCAAAGTATTGGTATTGGCAGTACTGTAACAGCTAATTTTGCTAGTATCAATATCACCCTAAAATTGAGCATAAGTATCATTATTAGTGGGTATCCACATAAAACTGAGTATTTGTAATGGCAAATTTTTTAGTATCATCCCATCCCCAATTCAGACTTACCATTAGGTATGTCAAACAGGGATAAAAATATGTATGCCTAACTTAGAATTCTGGTATTGTAACACAATAAGAGCTTAATTTCTTCAGTATAAATGTATATATAGACCCATAATTTAGAACAAATTTCACTGATTCAGTATTCAATGTGGGTAAATACCAACTAACTACAAAACAAAGTACAGTGGAACCCAGGTTTTTGTCCAGTCCAGTTATCGTACAATTTTTTCAACCACTTTTTTTGGCGAAATTTGCCCCATTTTCGTACATCCACTTGGAAATCGTCCATACCAGACATGTCTGCCTGCTCGTGGGACACAGTCGCTCATACATTCATGACTTGTTCACCGAGCATTACTCTGCATGTTCATCCAAAGCATTTCGTAATAATCCATTGTTTTTTGTGCTTGCAAATGCTAAGTAAGCATCCATGGGGCCAAAGAAAGTTTCGAGTGCCAGTCCTTTGGTAAAGAAGGCGAGAAACATGATAGAATTCAAGAAAGAAAAATGTGAAAGTGGCATACGTGTGGCCAAGCTCACCAGGACATATGGGAAGTCCAAATCAACGATCAGTTCCATCCTGGCGAAGAAAAACGAAATCAAGGAAGCTTATGTTGTGAAAGGGGTAAATGTGCTAATGATACAGAGATGGCAAACAATTAAAGATGACATGTTGTTGTTGTCAGTGTGGAACACCCAAAAACAGAGGGAGATAGTGTTGTGGAGGTGATAATTTGTGAAAAGGCAAGGCAGCTGCATGCAGATCTTGTAAAGAAAATGCCTGGAACGAGTGCTGCTGGTTCAACAGATTCAAGAAGCAAAGTGGCATACACAGTGGTAAGGCATGGCAAGGCTGCAAGTTCGGACAAATGTGGGGCTGAAGAATTCGTTGATGAATTCAAGGAGTACATAGAGGCTGAAGGATTCCTTCCCCAACAAGTCTTCAACTGTGACAAAACAGGCCTCTTTTGGAAGAAAATGCCAGAGGGCCTACATCATGCAGGAGGGAAAGGCACTGCCAGGACACAAGCCTATGAAGGATAGGCTAACTTTTTTGTTCTGTGGTAATGCTGGTGTATCACTCTGAAAATCCCAGTGTGTCCAAGAAAAACAATGTCATGAAGAGTAAATTGTGTGTGATGTGGAAGGCTAACAATAAGGCATGGGTCACAAGGCAAATTTTCATTGAGTGGGTCAATGAAATGTTTGACCCGAGTGTGAAGAAATACCTCCTGGAAAATAAATTACCACTCAAGTGCCTCCTGGTAATGGACAATACTCCTGCTCATCCTCCAGACTTGGAAGACCAATTGTTGGGGAAGTTTTGTTTCATCACAATGAAGTTTCCCCCCCTCCTAATATCACTCCTCTCATCCATGGACTAGCAGGGCATTTCACACTTCAAAAAACTCTACATCAAAGCAACGTTTCAAAGGTGCTTTGAAGTGACTTCGGACACTGAACTGACCGTAAGAGTTCTGGAGGAATCCCTTCAATATCCTCAACTGCATAAGCCTTATAGATAAGGCTTGGCAGGGAGTGACTTCCAGGACGATTAACTCTTGGAGAAAACCATGGCCAGAATATGTTCTCCAGAAGGATTTTGAAGGGTTTGATGGTGACCCTGATGACCTTATGCCTATTGTAGAATCCACTGTGTCTTTGGGGAAGTCCATGGGGTTGGAGGGGAGTGGCCAGGATGTGGAAGAGTTGGTGGACAACCACAGGGAAGAGCTAACCATTGAAGGACACCACTTAAGGACCCTTGTCTGCAAATCAGTTTAAAGCCCTAATAAGAAATCACATCACCCAAAATTAACCAGACAAACCGTACCTAATCACTACCAGTTTCTCAAAAGCAACTCATTATGCTGACAAATGTTCAACCATTTACTACTTCGAAATCAGGATGTCTGTTTTTCATTGTTTTAAATAGTACTAAACTGTAAAACATCATATTGTAACTTTTTTTAAATTGTTACAGTTTAATACTGTAATCTTTATTAACTAATTCAATAGTGTAACAAGTCTCTACTAGACTTATCAAAACCATGTAGCATTACCTGATAGAATATTTGGTTCTCCTGTACTCACTGTAACTCATCTAATAACCATACGAATTATGTATTGCCTTCCTAATCTAAAGTTAATCTTCAAATTTGCCCAAAATGCTCAACATTTCAAAGGGGCTTTTGGCATGTACACCCATCTATTATATTCCTCTGTACAACCATGTAATTTCTCAAAATAAACATTTTAATCTTAAGAGCTGCAAGACCTTCATCTGGAACAGCAACAGACCTTAGCTGAGGAAATTGCTTCATAGGAGGAGGAGGAAGAAAGGGAAGAATGTGCCTTCTTCAGTGATTAAAGACATTTGTGCAAAGTGGAGTGAGGTGCAGAATTTTGTGGAGAAATATCACCCTAACAATGCTGCTGCAAGCTATGTCAGCAATACATTCAGTGACAATGCCGTGTCCCATTTTAGGCAAATCTTAAAGAGACGTCAGAAACGGGCCTCTCTCGACAGATTTTTTGTGCGACAGGGTACCAGTGACTCAAGATGGTCCTAGTGCCAGTAAAAGACAAAGAAGGGAAGTAACCCCAGATAGAGCTTTGATACATGAAGTCCTTATGGAGGGAGATTCCCTTTCTAAACAATAACCTCTCCTCCCTCTCCCCTCCTCACCATCTTCCATAAAGGAGTCTTCAATAAGGTAAAAGTGATGTTAAATGTTCATTTATCGATTTCATTAGTCATTTATATTTACTTCTCATTGTTTTCTGTATGTAAAACTATAGTTATTCTCTATAAAATGTATTTTTTGTTAATATTTTTGGGTATCTGGAACGGATTTATTGGATTTACATTATTTCTAATGGGAAATATTACTTCAGTTTTCGTACAAATCGGTTTTCGGCCGACCTTCTGGAACGGATTAAAGACGAAAACTGGGGTTTCACCGTATACAGAAAAATAAAATTATATTGTATTTACAGAGGTGAATCTTGTATCAAAGGTAAATAAGTAGTTTATATCACTATTCTATAGTATTCTACAGACTTAATATTCATTATTTACATATTAATAGTGTCCATATGTTATTTATGGTATAATCCATGAATATGAGCTAGTAATGTGTGGTAGAGGTATTAAAAGTGCAGCTTGGCAAGTCTTCACTATGAGCAGCAGATAGCAACACTTACTGGACTAAAATTTCACTTGTGTCCATAAGATGGGATAGCACAAGAGGAGATTCAAGGTTTTTTTGGTGGCCAAAGTGAAAGAATTCTATTTATACTCCAAAAGCTTTTCCTATTACAGTTCTCAGAAGGTATGAATTTCCTCATTTCTCCTGCACTATTCAATTACAGGACTAGCCAATCATTATACGATAGGCTGTAACTAAATGGCATGGTGCCAACAATAGTGAAAAACTCTGCAGAACAATCTTTTTCTGGGACAATGTTTCATTCTGTTCAGCTCAATATTGTGACTTAATGAAGCTATAAACAGATCATAACTGTCCTAATAAAAGCTGGTTTTGCCAAGTACTTTTCCTTCAATATCTCATCAGGATTGATTTAAACTAATTCACCAATTCATTACATTCCCAAAACACAAAAAAAATCAAGTAATTTGGCTGGTATGTGCTTACCAAGAGAGGCACAGTAACTGTACCCAGCAGGTTTCTCATTTCCTTCATTTGAATACTTGCTGCAGCATCCCGAACTAAGCGACTCAATTCCCGAAAATCTCTCATTCCGATGAGTTGCTCTACCCCAGCTTCTTGTGGTTCATGCCTTAAAAGGTAAATATAGTTTTTATAGTGTAACAAAACTATTAGACTAAAAGTTTATGTGCATTAAATAGTAAAACACTGTATGCCAAGCCTCCTTAACAGTTTTACAAACTTCACTAAAATATTGCTTTAATCAGTTGAAAAATAGAGCTCAACAGTACAGAATACCAAATGAAAAGACTTACACTTCGGCAAATCAGGATAAAACTCAGGTAGTCACTTAAAGTTGCTCGTGCAACCGAGATGCAAGAGTGAAATCAACTCAATAATTTCATGTTGAAAACCATTGTAGTAAGTTATACACTTTAATAAAGAAACTTCAGAATATTAAGTCATAATTAAATTTTAATTTTATATAACCGGACTTGAGTCCTGGAAATGGGAAGTACAATGCCTGCTCTCTAAAGGAGGGGTTTGGGATATTGGCAGTTTGGAGGGATATATTGTGTATTTTTATACATATATATTTCTAAACTGTTGTATCCTGGGCACCTCTGCAAAAACAGTGACTATGGGTGAGTGAGGTGAAAGTGTTGAATGATGATGAAAGTATTTTCTTTTTGGGTCACCCTGCCTCGGTGGGAGACGGCCAACTTGTTGAGAGAGAGAAAAAATTTTTTTTTATTAAATATGAGATTCTTCAGCATTAAACAGTCCAATTATAATAATTCTTCAGTTTTCACAACAACTAAGTTTGAGGGAATTTAAAATTTAAGAAAGAATATCCCCCCCCCAAACAAATCAGCCATCTCCCACTTAGGCAGGGTGACCTAAAAAAGAAAAACTAAATTTCATTTAAATTTAGTAGTATATACAGGGGAATGGGTTACTAGCCTGTTACTCCCAGCATTTTAGTCTCCTCTGACATGCATGGCTTACAGAGGAGGAATTCTGTTCCACTTCCCCATGGAGATAAGAAGAAATAAATAAGAACTAGTAAGAAAGTAGAAGAAAACCCAGAGGGGTGTGTATATATACACTTGTACATGAATGAATAGTGTGATATGTGTAAGTAGAAGTAGTAAGACATACCTAAAATCTCTCATGTTTACGAGACAGAAAAAAGACCAGCAATCCTATCATGTAAAACAATTACGGGTTTACATTTCACACTCACTTGACAGGACACTAGTACCTCCCTGGGTGGCTGCTGTCTACCAACCTACCTTTTAAATGCATTATAGAAGATAAATAAGAAGGCACATATTCTAAACAAAATTCATTTTTACAATGTAAATCAGCTGCAAAATTAGGCTACCTTCATTTAAAAGAATACCAAAGTTATGCAGAACATTTCAGGCAGACTAAAACTAGAACTTTAAACTACTTGACATTATACAGTTAAAGCTAGAGAATTTAAGTTAAAGTTTAATATAATTAAATTGTCTGAAGATAAAATTATTAAATATAATCATAATTTTTAGTAGTGTTGCTCAAACTTTGATGGAGTGAGGAGGGGAAGTTGTTACAGTCGGACTATAATCTGATTATGTCAGCACACTTTTGGAAAGAAAGCGGTGGTTAATGTGTTTTCTTCTTGGGTTACCCTGCTCTGGCAGATGATGATCAAATTAAACAAAGATAAAAGTAACAAATAACTAAACTGTCCACACCCCTCATAACTCCTAAACGCTTCAACATTCAAGCTCTCCAAGACAAGCTCAACCAGGTCGAGCCTTCAATCCAGTTCACACTTGAAGAAGAAGTCGACAACACTCTTCCTTTCCTTGATGTTCTGCTCTGCAAAGCTGACCACGAACTTCGTTTTAAAGTCTATCGAAAACCCACCAACCAAACGATCTTTTCCACTTCTAATCTCACCACGACACCAAAACCAAATGTGGTGTAATTATAGGCTTCTTCCTGCGTGCACTCAGAATCTGCAGCAATGAGTTCCTTGAGGAAGAATGCACTATAATTGAACAAGTACAGTGGACCCCCGGTTAACGATATTTTTTCATTCCAGAAGTATGTTCAGGTGCCAGTACTGACCGAATTTTTTCCCATAAGGAATACTGTGAAGTATGTTAGTCCATTTCAGACTCCCAAACATACACGTACAAACACACTTACATAAATACACTTACATAATTGGTCGCATTTGGAGGTGATCGTTAAGCAGGGGTCCACTGTATTTTCTAAACTCCACTATCCTCGTCACTTCATCAGAGACTGCAGACGGCGGGCATTAAACATCTTCAACACACCCAGAGAAGACACTGCCGAGAAGAGATACATAGTCCTCCCCACCAACTCCATTGCCAAACATGTTTCCAACATCTTTTCCAATACATCATTCCAAGTATCTACCTCCACAACCACGACCATCAAGGACATCACCAGTAGTAGACAGGACAAGCCTCCATCCTCTGCAAGGGTATACATAATCCCTTGTAATGACTGCAACAAATTATATGTGGGCGAAACATCAAGAGACCTCCAAACACGTATTTCAGAACACCAATATGCAAGCAGGACTGATGATACAAGGAATGCCTGTGTACAACATCGCAATTCACACAACCATTTAATTAACTACAGAAACTCAAGACTTATCGCCACAGAAGACAACACTCAATACCGAAGAATCCTGGAATCATCGCTTATCTCTATAACCAACAATTTCAACCAGAACAACGGCTTCTATAACATAGCTGAACCACTCGCCAAGAAACTTCAACGCTATCCCACATAAGAACATAGAACACTGCAGAAGGTCTACTCACAACTTGTCCAATACCCCTGCCAAGCTACCCAAGACTCTATAACTCCACCCGGTAGATCATCAGATGCAGCATTCTCCACCTGACCTCAACATTCTGAATATGACTATAAATACTCCCGTACCTTCCACTCCAGGTAGATCTGTGTGTGACTTGAAAAAGCCCACTGTGTGGGTGAAACGTTGTCAATAAAGGATCACATTATACTGCATATGTGTTTATATTTCCTCTGTGATATCTACCTACCTCGCGAAGGTTCCTTCAGTGGGTAGAGTAGTGATGGTGGTGCCTATCTTTTCCACCCTCCACCTCAGCCAGCATCTTCCGTTAACCCAAGTTGTCTGATCACCAAGGTATATAACACAAACAGGCCTTTTCTTATCCAACCTCCAGCAGAAACATTTGTCTAACCTATTTTTATGCTACCCAAGTAATACCTTTTATAACCTTTTACTCATGTGCAAGTTGACTGTTCTACCATATTGTATTACTACAACAAATAAGATTCCTGCTACTACTACTACTACCACTAATATTACACCTCACTCTCTGCCTATATATACCCTCTGTGTCTGTGTATTGTTTGTAATGGCTCAGTAAAGCTCCTGAAGAGTGAAACGTTGCCACAATAAAATGTCACATTAGTTGCCTTTGTGTCCTTTTACTTAACACAAGGTATATACACTTTATAAATCCAGCTTATTTCTTTATATTTTCTTTAATGTTTTATTATGTTTTTATACTATATGTATTTCTTATTTATAAATACATTTTTCTTATTTGAAAACCAGTAACAAAAAAATTGGCGGGGTTTTTTTGAGGCTGGAATGGATTAATGGCATTTCAGTTAATTTCAATGAGGAAAATTGATTTGATATACAGTGGAACCTGTTTTCGTTTGCCCTGGTTTTCGATGAATTCAGTTTTCAACAACTTTTTTCGTCAAAATTTTGTTACTTTTCGTTCATCACCTGTCTTCATCGGTCCACCATACTGAACATGTCCGCCTGCCTGCACCCACACAAAGCATCCCACACATTCCGAGTCAATCTGGGTTTGATCTCATCGAGTGAGCATTACCCTGAGAGTTCATCCGAAACATTTCGTAATAATCCATTGTTTTTTGTGCTTGTTTATTGAGTGTGACTGCTCAATAAGCCACCATGGGGTTTGGGGAAGTCTATGGGGTTGGATGTGAATGGCCAGGATGTGGAAGAGTTAGTGAACAACCACAAGGAAGAGCTAACCACTTAAGAGCTGCAACACCTTCAAATAGAACAGCAACGGATCGTAGCTGAGGAAATTGCTTCAGAGGAGGAGGAAGAGAGAGGGGAGAATGTGCCTTCTTCAGTGATTAAGGTCGTGTGTGCAAAGTGGAGCGAGTTGCAAAGTTCTGTGGGGAAATATCACCCTAACAAAACTGTTGCAAGCCGTGTCAGCAACATGTTCAATGATAATGCCTTGTCCCATTTTAGGCAAATCTTAAAGAAACGCCAGAAACAAACCTCTCTGGACAGATTTTTTGTGCGATAGGAGTCCAGTGCCAGTAAAAGACAAAGAAGAGAAGTAATCCCAGATAGGAACTTGGTACCTGAAGTCCTTATGGAGGGGATTCCACTTCCAGCCAATAATCTCCTCTCCTCCCTCTCCCCTCCTCACATCTTCCATAAGCCAACAAGTCTCCAATAAAGGTAAAAGTGATATTAAATGTTCATTTATCCATTTCATTAGTCCTTTATATTTATTTTTCATTGTTTTCTGTATGTAAAAGCATAGTTATTCTTTATAGAATGTATTTATTGTTAATATTTCTGGGTGTCCTAGGTAGTAGGTTGGTAGACAGCAACCGCCCAGGGAGGTACTACCATCCTGCCAAGTGAGTGTAAAACGAAAGCCTGTAATTGTTTTACATGATGGTAGGATTGCTGGTGTCTTTTGTCTGTCTCATAAATATGCAAGATTACAGGTAAGTCTTGCTACTTCTACTTACACTTAGGTCACACTAAACATACATGTACAAGCATATATATACACACCCCTCTGGGTTTTCTTCTATTTTCTTTCTAATTCTTGTTCTTGTTTATTTCCTCTTATCTCCATGGGGAAGTGGAACAGAATTCTTCCTCTGTAAGCCATGCGTGTTGTAAGAGGCGACTAAAATGCCGGGAGCAAGGGGCTAGTAACCCCTTCTCCTGTATATATTACTAAATTTAAAAGGAGAAACTTCAGTTTTTTCTTTTGGGCCACCCCGCCTCAGTGGGATACGGCTGGTACGTTGAAAGAAGAAGAAGAAGAATTTCTGGGTGTTCTAGGTAGTAGGTTGGTAGACAGCAACCGCCCAGGGAGGTACTACTGTCCTGCCAAGTGAGTGTAAAACGTAAGCCTGTAATTGTTTTACATGATGGTAGGATTGCTGGTGTCCTTTTTTCTGTCTCACAAACATGCAAGGTTTCAGGTACGTCTTGTTACTTCTACTTACACTTAGGTCACACTATACATACATGTACAAGCATATATATACACACCCCTGTGGGTTTTCTTCTATTTTCTTACTAGTCCTTGTTCATTTCCTCTTACCTCCATGGGGAAGTGGAACAGAATTCTTCCTCCGTAAGCCATGCGTGTTGCAAGAGGCGACTAAAATGCCAGGAGCAAGGGGCTAGTAACCCCTTCTCCTGTATATATTACTAAATGTAAAAGGAGAAACTTTCGTTTTTCCTTTTGGGCCACCCCGCCTCAGTGGGATATGGCCGGTGTGTTGAAAGAAAGACTTGGGTGTCTAGAATGGATTAATTGTATTTACATTATTTCTTATGGGAAATATTGCTTCAGTTTTCATCAACTTCAGTTTGTCAGACTTTCTGGAACAAATTAATGACGAAAACCAAGATTCCACTGTACAAGAAAATTGAGTTGCAAGCTCAGTAACGGAACAAATTAAACTCATAAGTCAAGGTACCACTGTACTCCCAATGCATATTTTTTTTTTTTTTTCAACAAGTCGGCCGTCTCCCACTGAGGCAGGGTGACCCAAAAAAGAAAGAACATCCCCAAAAAGAAAATACTCTCATCATCATTCAACACTTTCACCACACTCACACATTATCACTGTTTTTGCAGAGGTGCTCAGAATACAACAGTTTAAAAGCATACACATATAAAGATATACAACATATCCCTCCAACTGCCAATATCCCAAACCCGTCCTTTAAAGTGCAGGGATTGTACTTCCCATTTCCAGGACTCAAGTCCGAGTATATGAAAATAACCGCTTTCCCTGAATCCCTTCACTAAATATTACCCTGCTCACACTCCAACAGATCATCAGGTCCCAAGTACCATTCGTCTCCATTCACTCCTATCTAACATGCTCATGCACGCTTGCTGGAAGTCCAAGCCCCTTGCAGACAAAACCTCCTTTACCCCCTCTCTCCAACCCTTTCGAGGACGACCCCTACCCCGCCTTCCTTCCCCTATAGATTTATACGCTTTCCATGTTGTTCTACTTTGATCCATTCTCTCTAAATGACCAAACCACCTCAACAACCCCTCTTCTGCCCTCTGACTAATACTTTTATTAACTCCACACCTTCTCCTAATTTCCACACTCCGAATTTTCTGCATAATATTTACACCACACATTGCCCTTAAACAGGACATCTTCACTGCCTCCAACCATCTCCTCGCTGCTGCATTTACCACCCAAGCTTCACACCCATATAAGAGTGTTGGTACTACTATACTTTCATACATTCCCTTCTTTGCCTCCATAGATAACGTTTTTTGACTCCACGTATACCTCAACGCACCACTCACCTTTTTTCCCTCATCAATTCTATGATTAACCTCATCCTTCATAAATCCATCCGCCGACACGTCAACTCCCAAGTATCTGAAAACATTCACTTCTTCCATACTCCTCCTCCCCCCCAATTTGATATCCAATTTTTCTTTATCTAAATCATTTGATACTCTCATCACCTTACTCTTTTCTATGTTCACTTTCAACTTTCTACCTTTACACACATTCCCAAACTCGTCCACTAACCTTTGCGATTTTTCTTTAGAATCTTCCATAAGCACAGTATCATCAGCAAAAAGTAACTGTGTCAATTCCCATTTTGAATTTGATTCCCCAAAATTTAATCCCACCCCTCTCCTGAACACCCTAGCATTTACTTCCTTTACAACCCCATCTATAAATATATTAAACAACCATGGTGACATTACACATCCCTGTCTAAGACCTACTTTTACCAGGAAGTAGTCTCCCTCTCTTCTACACACCCTAACCTGAGCCTCACTATCCTCATAAAAACTCTTTACAGCATTTAATAACTTAACACCTATTCCATATACTTGCAACATCTGCCACATTGCTCCTCTATCCACTATCATATGCCTTTTCTAAATCCATAAATGCAATAAAAACTTCCCTACCTTTATCTAAATACTGTTCACATATATGCTTCAATGTAAACACTTGATCTACACATCCCCTACCCACTCTGAAACCTCCTTGCTCATCCGCAATCCTACATTCTGTCTTACCTCTAATTCTTTCAATTATAACCCTACCGTACACTTTTCCTGGTATACTCAGTAAACTTATTCCTCTATAATTTTTACAATCTCTTTTGTCCCCTTTCCCTTTATATAAAGGGACTATACATGCTCTCCGCCAATCCCTAGGTACCTTCCCCTCTTTCATACATTTATTAAACAAAAGTACCAACCACTCCAACACTATATCCCCCCCCTGCTTTTAACATTTCTGTCATGATCCCATCAGTTCCAGCTGCTTTACCCCCTTTCATTCTACGTAATGCCTCACGTACCTCCCCCACACTTACATTCTGCTCTTCTTCACTCCTAGAAGATGGTATACCTCCCTGACCAGTGCATGAAATTACTGCCTCTCTTTCTTCCTTAACATTTAAAAGTTCCTCAAAATATTCTCGCCATCTACCTAATACCTCCATCTCCCCATCTACTAACTCCCCTACTCTGTTTTTAACTGACAAATCCATACTTTCCCTAGGCTTTCTTAACTTGTTTAACTTACTCCAAAATTTTTTCTTATTTCCATTAAAATTTCTTGACAGTGCCTCTCCCACTCTATCATCCGCTCTCCTTTTGCACTCTCTCACCACTCTCTTTACCTTTCTTTTACTCTCCATATACTCTGCTCTTCTTATAACACTTCTGCTTTGTAAAAACCTCTCATAAGCTACCTTTTTCTCTTTCATCACACCCTTTACTTCATCATTCCACCAATCATTCCTCTTTCCTCCTGCCCCCACCCTCCTATAACCACAAACTTCTGCCCCACATTCTAATACTGCATTTTTAAAACTATTCCAACCCTCTTCAACCCCCCACTACTCATCTTTGCACTAGCCCACCTTTCTGCCAATAGTTGCTTATATCTCACCCAAACTTCCTCCTCCCTTAGTTTATACACTTTCACCTCCCTCTTACTTCTTGTTGTCACCTTCCTCTTTTCCCATCTACCTCTTACTCTAACTGTAGCTACAACTAAATAATGATCCGATATATCAGTTGCCCCTCTATAAACATGTACATCCTGGAGCCTACCCATCAACCTTTTATCCACCAATACATAATCTAATAAACTACTTTCATTACATGCTACATCATACCTTGTATATTTATTTATCCTCTTTTTCATAAAATATGTATTACTTATTACCAAATCTCTTTCTACACATAGCTCAATTAAAGGCTCCCCATTTACATTTACCCCTGGCACCCCAAATTTACCTACTACTCCCTCCATAGCTCAATTAAAGGCTCCCCATTTACATTTACCCCTGGCACCCCAAATTTACCTACTACTCCCTCCATAACATTTTTACCCACTTTAGCATTGAAATCCCCAACCACCATTACTCTCACACTTGATTCAAAACTCCCCACGCATTCACTCAACATTTCCCAAAATCTCTCTCCTCTACACTTCTCTCTTCTCCAGGTGCATACATGCTTATTATAACCCACTTTTCACATCCAATCTTTATTTTACTCCACATAATCCTTGAATTAATACATTTATAGTCCCTCTTTTCCTGCCATAGCTTATCCTTCAACATTATTGCTACTCCTTCTTTAGCTCTAACTCTATTTGAAACCCCTGACCTAATCCCATTTCTTCCTCTCCATTGAAACTCTCCCACCCCCTTCAGCTTTGTTTCACTTAAAGCCAGGACATCCAGCTTCTTCTCATTCATAACATCCACAATCATCTCTTCCTTATCATTTGCACAACATCCACGCACATTCAGACTTCCCACTTTGACAATTTTCTTCTTCTTATTCTTTTTAGTAATCTTTACAGGAAAAGGGGTTACTAGCCCATTGTTCCCGGCATTTTAGTCGACTTGTACAACACGCATGGCTTACGGAGGAAAGATTCTTATTCCACTTCCCCATGGATATAAAAGGAAAAGTAATAAGACCAAGAACTATTAAGATAAAATCAAAGAAAACTCAGATGAGTGTGTATAAATAAATGTGTACATGTATGTGTAGTGTGACCTAAGTGTAAGAAGTATATATATACACACATATATACACATACATATATACACATACATATATACACACATACAAATGAAAGTGCATATACATGCAGAAATTCATACACACAATTATATTTTACTTCACTGGTATTGTATGACCGCCCTCTTATTATTCCTATTGCATACACTGAGGTAAAGGTTAATGGAAGACAGGGATACCTTTCTCAGATCACCCAGTGACCAAAATACATCCAGTTTTATCATGCATCACCAAGTACTTTATTACAAATGGGTAAAGACAAGGTACAACATGCAACAGATTTTAAGTACGTATCATATAATACACTGCACATTCAGAACAGCATGTGTGTTGAACCAGAGCAACACTCATACTTTTCAAATGCAATTTTCAAGTGTACCTAAAACACAGAGATACACGGAAGCATCTCACTCACCAGACTTCCACAGTAAGCTTAGTATCACGTATTGCTGCTGGAATTCCACTGCAAGAGAATAAGCATATTAATTAATTCATATAATATATATATATATATATATATATATATATATATATATATATATATATATATATATATATATATATATATATATATATATATATATATATATATATATATATTATATATAATATATTATATATATATATATATATATATATATTATATATATATATATATATATATATATATATATATATATATATATATATATATATATATATAATATATATATATATATATATATATATATATATATAATATATATATATAATATATATATATATATAATATATTATAATATATGGACAGTAATAGTTATGTACAATGATTATATATATATTTACATATAGCTCTTGTATAAAGTTATGGCACCGATACAATATATTACAATGAACTACCAATGTATGAGGTTCATGTCAAAAGCCTCTGTAAACATTATCAAGTTAAATAACTTATATTACATATCTTAATGGTTGCAATGTTAACATAATTACGTGACAGTTACATCATTCTCAATAACCTTACTGTCATCCTCCATTCTTTATGCATTTGCAATGTTAATTTCAAATGAAGGCTACAATTATTACTATAGTTATAATACGTATCCTCTTGACTTTATGATTGGTCTGCCATGCAATTGTATAATACAGGCCTTGAATTATTCATTCCTATATTAAGCAGCTACACTACCTCCAAATTTACTATCTTATGCTATGTCTAAGAAAGGAAATTGTTGGTACTACTTACATTATATAGGTATAATTGCTTATTGATCTTGAAGGGGATGAAGTGGCCTTACTAGGCCAAGTTGGATATAGTAGGCACAATACAATACCTGTCAGATGCCTGTACAAACACCCGGCAGGCTACCACCACCACCACGTATCACTACCTTCCTTCATTAACTATAACCCAATGGAAATAAATCACTGACTACTGGGTTATCCCAGATACTTTACACACATTATTAAGTATGATAATTGTACCCATGTATACCTGTACCCCAGTGAAAATAAGTAGCTGACTTTTTGGGACATCCAAGGTAATTTACACACATTACTATGCATGATAATTATACTTGTGTACCTGTGCCTAAATAAATTTATTTACTAGTTGTTAATGCAGCTTAATGTGTTACATGCCCTTTACAGATAATGGGTAATGCTGCACCAGAGATTATAATTTCACAATTATCTGTACATTTTTACCTTACTATATCTTAAATTATAGTTGATGAAGGACGCTGGCTGTCAGTGGAGAGGATTTGATCAATACGTACTGACAAAATTACCTGATTCCAATTCAGCGCTTATTTTTTTTTACATCAGAATTGGACATTAATGCGGTTGTGCAGGAAACGCCTACCTATCTGTTGTGGGTCCATCGTATTTGAAGTAATTATCTCTCATAACCTGGAATAATGTGTTGTACCCATGTCACAAGCAATTAATAAAGGTTCTATGTGTGGAAATTACAGGGGCATGTGTCCAACTGCCTATTAGGACATTAAATTTTGTCCATGTATATTTTCCACATACAACTTTACAAGAAATGATATTAATAACTGCAAATTCAGTGCATGAATGGCTAATATATATTATATTGCACTGAATAAATTTACTATGTTCAATAAAGCACAGTACAGATTATACAGTATGGAGAATAAATAATAACCTAACGTGAGCTAATCGTACAATGCAAACCCAATTGGGAAATGCACTAAATTTATTAACACGAAATACAGCAATCAAAAAGTAAAAGAAAAGCGTCTTACGTGTTAAACTTAGACTCCCAAGATGGTGCAAGAGTACTATTTACGACTCTGGTCTTGAAGGTTTCACTAATTCCCGAAACTCTCACAACACAGTAAGGATGACTTGTTGCTGTAAAATACACAGTCATTACTGATTTGCTGAATCCTTCCATTTCATTGATTCACATAACAGTGTAATAGCAACTGAATATAATAAAATTATATTTAAGAGCCTTTAAAGAATTATCCAGTATTATGGTACTACATTACTTCATGAAAGATCAGTCTCTCTACACTTCTTTCATCCTTTAGGGAAGGTGCCTTGATACTGGTGAAGGGCTGTTGATACAAGGAACCAGAGCAATTTATTTATTTATTTATTTAGTAATTTTAGCATACATACAGAGGTACAAAAAAATACAGGTAAGAGCAGCATGCCAAAGCCACTTATATGCATAGCATTATGGGCTGGCTTAAAATTAACTTAAGATTAACTAAGCAATGATGAAATCAGTGATAAAACATTATTGTAAACAGATAACTATAAAGCACAAATGAGTATTACAAAGACAGGTCATATGGTTGCACGCATTGCTGTACATTCAGTCGAATGGAGTATTCTGTTAGGTAGTGTATTTAAAAAAATAAAGTTAGATTGGGTCCTAGGTTTAACATTTGTGTGATATAATTGTGAGTAACATTTAGGATATACAATTTATAAGGTTCAGTATTCAGTATTTATTTGGTTTTGAGTGAGTAAGTGATCTTTGAGAAGAGACTTGAATTTATAAACAGGGTAGTGTTTCTTTTATATTTACAGTAATGAATTCCAGATTTTAGGGCCTTTTATGTGCATTGAGTTTTTGCATAGCGCGAGATGGACACGAGGAACATCAAAGAGTGATCTGTGCCTTGTGTTATGGTCGTGTGTTCTGTTGAGGTTGGCAAGGAATGTTTGAGGGGAGGGTTAATATCAGAGTTAAGTGTTTTATGTATGTAATAGGTGCAGAAATAAGTATGGATGTTTTGTATGGTGAGTAGGTTGAGTGTTTTGAATATTGGTGGAGTGTGCTGCCTGTAGTGAGAATTTGTTATCATTCTAACTGCAGCCTTTTGTTGGGTAATTAGTGGCTGAGATGGTAATTGTTGTTGACCCCATGCACAAATTCCATAGGTGAGATAGGGGTAAATAAGAGAGTGATAAAGGGCCAGGAGGGCTGACTGGGAACATAGTACCGTATCTTCAATAGTATGCCTACAGTCTTGGAAATTTTCTTAGAAATTTGTTGTATATGTGTATGAAATTTGAGTCTATTATCAAGGTGGATTCCTAAGAATTTTCCCTCTGTTAGCTTTGTGATAGGTGATCTGTTTATCGTTATGTTAAGAGTACATCTGTAGCTCTGTTTCCAAACTGAATGAAGTAGGTTTTGTCAATGTTTAGTGTAAGTTTGTTAGTCCTCATCCAGGTAGATATTTTCTGTAATTCGGTGTTTACAGTATTGGCTAGCGTGACTGGGCTCGGGTGAGAGAAGACGTATGTAGTGTCATCTGCAAAAAGTGTGGGTTTGAGTAATTGCGAAGCATTTGGTAGGTCATTTATGTATAGGAAAAGAGAAGAGGGCCAAGGACACTTCCCTGTGGGACACCAACTGTAATGGTTGAGCGGAAGAGCTTGCCCCATTTGCGTACACACATTGGCTTCTGTTGCTGAGGTAATGACTTGGGGTAGTTGAGGGAGTGCCCTCTAATACCATAGTGTGACAAATTTTACGTGGAGCAAGTCATGGTCAACTGTATCAAAAGCTTTACGTAAGTCAATGAAGATCCCCAGTGGGACTTCTTTTTTCTCTATTGCAGTGTATTATGTTCTAGCATGTGTATAATAGCATCATTATATTTTATTAGGCCTGAATCCAAATTGGCAGGGTTGAGAATGTTTTTGGGAGATGAGGTAGGAGTAGATTCGTTTATGAATTAATTTTTCGAAGATTTTTGAGAGAGGGTGTAAATTGGATATTGGCCTATAGTTATTCAACTCTCTTTGGTCTCCTCCTTTATGGATCGGGGTGACCCTTGCTATTTTGAGAGCTGTAGGGAAGGTGGAGGATTCAATGGATTTGTTAAAGAGTGTTGCAATGATTGGTAATAGTACTTGTGACGCTTTTTTGTATGTAAAGGGTGGTAAGGTATTTAAATCTCCTGCCTTGTTTTTTAGTGCGTTGATAATAAGGGAGACTTCGTATGGGTTAGCCGAGCTAGGAACAGTGTTTTTCGGGTAGTTGCCAGTGAGGTATCATTTGGTGGGGTATCTGAGTTTGGGGTTTTTTTATTGCAAGGTTTTTTGTCCTATAGTGGAGAAGAAATCATTGAGTCTGTTTTGCTGTTTCTGTTGGTGGGAGTTGGGGTTCATCTGATTTTGCTAAAATTTTATTTTTTCTATTTTTCGTGATATCTTTTTTGTTCCCAGAATTTCTGATAGGGTTTTCCAGGTCTTTTTTATATCACCTTTGTAAGTTGGGTAATCTGTTTCTCATAATACAATTTTTTTGCCCTTCTTATCAGGGTGGTTAGGATTGACAGTAACGTTTGTTTGGTCTCTGGGTTTTGTGACCCATTCTGTACTGTTTTTTCATATCGGTGTTTCGTATTTTATGGATTTTTAGAATGCTGGTGTTAGCCAGGACTGTTTTATCTCTTAGCTGTCATCTGTTTAGTTTTTTTAGGGCAGTGCTTGTTATAAAGGTATTGGGTCTTTTTTAGAAAATTATTAAAACATTCGTCAATATCTGTATAGATTTCTAGCTCAGTGTGCCAGTCAATGTTTGTTACTGCTGTTGTGAAGTTATTAATGGCTGCCTCATTGTGAAGTCTGAAGGGGACTTTTGTAGTGTCTTGGGGGATTTTACCAAGAGTTGTTATGAGGAAAGTAGGGTAGTGGTCTGTGGTATTATCTGTAATTATGCCTGATTTTAAAGGGGATATGGTGTTGGTCCATATGTGGTCAAGTAGGGAAACACTAGTCTCCGTAACTCTTGTAGGTTTTGTCACTGTTGGTAGCAACATGCAGTTACTCATTGTGTTTGTGAATTCAGTAACGTGTGGGTCCTGGTCTTGCAGGAGATTTATATTGAAGTCACCTGAGAGTAGTAAGTGATCTTTGTGCATGCGTGCATCAGTTGTCATACTTCCTAGGTTTTGACTAAATTGGCTGTTTGATTGTGGAACTCTGTAGATGTTTATCACTGTGAGAGGTTTTTGTAGGTATTTGGATTTGAATTTGGCTATTATATATTCCCCATGTTCATCCCTTGTGCAAGTATTAGTGATACATTCTAGTTGGTCTGAGTAGTATATAGCTGTGCCACCCCCTTGTTGGTCTGGCCTACAGTTGTGTATGGCTGTGTAACCAGGAATGGCATAGACATCTGTAGTATCAGGCTTTAGCCAGGTTTCAGTTAGTGTAATGATGGACATATTGGCATGCAAGGCATTTAGTAATGCTAAGAGGTCATCGTAATGCTTGCTTAAAGATCTGATATTGTAGTTAAAGATAGTTATGTTGTTGTTGGCTCTGAGAAGTGCCTTTGATTGTTCTGCTGTGTAGTAATTACAGTAACTGTTTGAATCATTTAAGTCATTAAATAAGAGGTTGGTATCAGGATCAATGCTTGTAATCATAAGATTTGTAGTGAATCTATAGTTAGAATTAAGTATAAAACAATGTAAATATTCTAAAGCTAAAAAAATAGCACCTGAATTATTTAACAAATGTAAAAATAATGAGCTAAGGTAGTTTTTTAAAGCTAAAATAAAGGAGACAATAAAAAAGGGACTAAAATAATTTGTGGTGAACAAATAAAGTGATGATCAAATAATGGAGCTTGGGAATATGATAGTAGGTAGTACTTTAAAGGTAATTCTTTAAAGTTAGAATTATAATATAAAATTATAATATAAAAGGGACTAATATAAGTTGTGGTCAACAATAAAGTGGTAATCAAATAATTGCATTAAGGTCTAATATAATGACTTTTGTGGAGTCTATGTTTTGAGCTAGAATGAGCTATAGTACAACTAGATTTAATCTAATAATATAAAAATACAAATTAAAAAAAAGCACCAGTCTCTCACTAGTAATTGCAATATGGTCTAATATAATGAATTTGGTATTGACTATAGTACAGAGTTTAATCTAATAATATAAAGGCACAAGACTCTCAATTGTAATTGCACTAAGGTGTTATATAAGTTGTTTACAAGAATTAGAGTATAACTAGATTTAAATTGACAAGATAAAATATACAAGTTAAGGTAGCAAAAGAATAAAAAAAGTAGAAAAAAAAAAATATATGAAGTAGTTGGTAGTAGTTAGCAGAAGATAGTTAAGGGCCTTGAACAATAATATAATTGAAATATACACTAATTGCACACACAATATAGTCACTAAGATATGAAAACAATCTTAGAGTAGGAATTATAATATAAACTTATAATATAAAGTTTTTCTTTTTCGGGCCACCCTGCCTTGGTGGGAATCGGCCAGTGTGATAATAAAAAAAAAAAAAAAAAAAAAATTGAAATGGTACTTGCAATTGCACTAGAGTCTGGTATAGGTTGTTGACAAGATCAGGAGTATAACTAGATTTAAATTGACAAAATATAATTCACAATTAAAGTACCAAAAGAATAATAGTAAAAAATAACAAGGGTAATGTCTTGGTTATAATATGATAGTAAGATGGTAGACAGGTACACAGGTACAAAGGATAATATAAAGGTTGGAGTTGAATATACAAACTTGAAAATTTGGCAACAAAATGTTATGGGAAGTTTAAAATAATGTTTAATGTACAAAAGTAAAATTGACTGGTAGTAAATAAGGTGTTTAATAAAATTTTAGTAAGTAATAATGATTACAAAAACGTGAAAAAGTAATGTTTATTTCATTCAATATTGCACTGGTAGTTATACTAGAGGTTATATGGCAGTACAAGGTAATTAAGAGTACTCTAAGATAGTAAATGTGGTATTAAAACAGGTAAAGGTAATTAGACAAGTAATGGTTATTAAATGTCAAAAATGTTAAGAGTAAATTGAAATTATAGTAAAAATGACAATTATTAATTT